CCTCCTCTGAGACCCCCACGCTCATACCATGATGACACCAGCCCGAGAGTACGTACGTCCTCCTACAAGGCCGGACTTTACGGGCTCCGTCACAGCGTTCAGTAGTCAGCAGCGACCCACCCGCCAAAAACTAATGCAAAAGCCACACACCAGCCAAATAATACCACGCCCTCTTCCTCCGCACGAACAACGTGCCCCGACCCGACCCAACCCGACGCGGTAGATGGCGTCGAGACAGCGTAACAACTCTCCCCAGCCTCCACTCACTCCCCTGCTACTTGAACCCACCAAAATATCGCACCTTCCTCCCCCAATCCGAGCTGAGCCAAGCTGGGTCGACCGAGAGAACACACACACACGAGGCCAGCTGACCTTTCCCCTCTCCTCCCCACGGTCTCCGTCCCCACGCAGCTCAGCCACGCCGATTGATTCTCCCATCGTTCCATCCCCACGCAGCTCCTTGGGCGATCGATGAAGTCCATCGGCAGCCGGGACAAGCTGCAGGCGGCGGCGGCGGCGACGGGTCCCCGGCGGGTGCTGCTGCTGGTCTTCGCCTCCTGCTTCGCCTTCGCCACGCTCCTCACCTTCCTCTACACCTCCTCCGGCTTCGCCTCCGCCGCGTCCTCCGGCTCGCGCCTGGGTTCGTCGTCCTCGTCTAACGCGGCGGCCGGCTCCGGGGCGGCGCTGCCGCTGCCGGTGTTCGACGCGCTGGTCCACTACGCCTCCTTCTCCAACGCCACGCACCGGATGACGGACACGGACATCCGGGCCATCTCCGCCATCCTGCGCGCGCGGGGGCCCTGCAACCTGCTCGTCTTCGGCCTGGGCGCCGAGTCGCCGCTCTGGCTCGCGCTCAACCACGGCGGCCGCACGGTGTACCTGGACGAGAACGAGTTCTACGTCAAGTACCTGGAGCCGCGCCACCCGGGGCTGGAGGCCTACGACGTCTCCTACACCACCAAGGTGCGCGACTTCCGGGACCTGCTGGAGGCGGCCCGCGGCTCCCGCGCCGCCGAGTGCCGGCCGGTGCAGAACCTGCTCTTCTCCGAGTGCCGGCTCGCCATCAACGACCTGCCCAACGAGCTCTACGACGTGCCCTGGGACGTGGTGCTCATCGACGGGCCGTCCGGGTGGAACCCCAACTCCCCCGGCCGGATGCCGTCCATCTTCACCACGGCCGTGCTCGCCCGCTCCGGCGCCACCGCCGCCAAGGGCCCCACGGACGTGCTGGTGCACGACTTCAACTTCGAGGTGGAGCAGGTGGTGAGCAAGGAGTTCCTGTGCGACGAGAACCGGGTCGCCGGCAGCGGCACGCCCTCGCTCGCCCACTACGTCATCCGCTCCGGCGGCCCCGCCGACGCCTTCTGCGCCGCCGGCCAGGACGGCCGGGCCACGTCCGAGGAGAAGACCCGCCGCAAGTAATCGAGACCCGCACTTTGATTAATTAGCCGCCCCCCTCTCCTCTCTAATTCTTGTTATTATCATTTCTTTTCTTCTTCTTTTTTGTGACATATACGAGTAATATATGTTTGTTGTTTTTTTGGGAACAATAATTGTAACAAGAAAGGCTCCTTCGATCAAAAGTGTAACAATCAATCGTGACGGCATGATTGATCGCCTCGAAAAAAAAATGAAATAGTAGAGGTTAATTTACACTTTGACAGATTGCTTGGGATCGATTCGACATGTGCTGGTGGGTGGGTGGATCCATCCATCCATCGATCGGGTTGCTTTTACATTTTCCTTTGCCCTGCCCGGTTGCGTGCGTTGCTCGATAATAAAGGTGGTGGGATCATATTCATTTGCCCGTCGTATTTTGGTCATTAATGAGCGAGGGCGTCGTTGCTTTGATCTGATCTGATCAAGAAGTGTCTCGGATCGGCAGTCAGTTCATTGGAGTCGCTGTCGTTGGGCTGATGCGCCGTTGGATCCGTGGAAGATGTCCATGTTTCGCAGCAACGTCCGACGGCTCAACGAACTGGGGGCATAGCGTATCCTCGTCTTGACCCTTTGTGGTATGCCAACATGGGCAACATGTGCAGTCTACGTGGCAGTGATCAGACACCAACCATGATGCCAATACAAACGAGCACATGTGTGATCTCTGCTAGACTAAAAGAAACTTGATATTGGGACAGTGCTACAGATCAAAAGCAATTTTTCCCAACTTGATTGACTGTGCTGCCCGCCGCCGCTGCGGCGTCGTTGTCGCCGGTCGCTGACGCTGGCGCCGGCAGGTACGGGGGCGGCGGTTAGTGGTCAGCTCGGACGTGCTGCCTGTCACCGGCTTGCGCCTGTGCGCGATCGTGTGTGCCCAACAGCTCATAGGACGATCATAAATTGGATTTGGTTAACTTCAAAAAAAAAATGGATTTGGTTTGCAGGGTATGGAAAAGAAGGAGCGTTGGTACAGCCTGCCCCACGTGCCGTCGGTCTCAAGAGACTTTTTTCTTCTTATTAGCCGGAACGGTCGATCGGGTGACGTGCCACCCACCCTCCCTCCTCCGGACACGAACCGTGAGCGAGCGACGGAGCGAGCGAGCACTAGTGCTGGTTTTCTGGTACCAACCCACCGATTAGAATAGGAGAATTAGGAGCGAAATGCTGGTGCAGCGATCAGATCAGAGGCTGATACTCTTGCTTTAGCACTTTTCATTTCCCCTGGAGAATAATGTGGTAGATGGCGTCGTGGTTGCCAAGGGTAATTTCCGTTGAATTCCCATTGACGGGTTCTCGCACGGAAAGACTGCATGTAATGTAATTTTGGTGGACGCAGTCGGTGATACGTACGTAGCAGCTAGGAATTGACGCGTTCGGTGGATTTCTGCACGGACCAGAGTACGGGTAACTACGCGTTTTCTACCTCCGGCAGTTTGTCAATCTGTCAGTCCTTTGTGACTATATAAAACTAGTGCGACGAATTGGTTGGTTCTTGAATAGCTATATAAGCTACGGACATGTACTCCTACTGCAGTATTGGTGCGTGAAGCAAGCAGTGGCCCTAGTTTGGCGATTTCCGGTCCAACTTTTCTGAGTTCGTTCGTTCGACGTAGCGATCGAGCTAGAGGAAGGAGTCTTCGCTTGTTGCTTCCTTGGTCAACGAGCTAAGCTAGCCTTGACAGTGATGAGTTCCGAGATTGCTCGTCCGGGAGCGAGCCTTTGAGCTGTATTTTAGTCGGCTTCCGTGTGTACAGGCTCCGTGACGTGCTGAAAAAAAGTTAGGCCCGCATGGCCGACCGACCGAGTTTTGACGTGGGAGTGGGACGCGCTCCATTGACCCCTCACCGACTGGTCCCGTTCCGTTTCTTGCGCGGGGCTCGACTCGATGGGTCTCCAATAATCTAAGCATCTGTGCGCCTCAAGAGAAGTCGAATCCAAGGCACATTGGCAGTACTAGGACTAAACTGCTGCTCTGTGTTTGTAGTTGAAGCCAGATTGGTGGATCATAATCGCACCAAACGTTGTGGGTTAAACTAAACAGGGGGGGCGCTCCTCTTAGCTAGAGGGCACGTTTACATCGAGCAGTTTTTTTTAAAGCAGCAGCTTACTTTTTTTTTTTGAAAAAGCAGCAATTTACTTGTTTTGTTTTTGATTTGGGCGCATTTGAGCTTTTTGTTTTGAGCGCATCAGGTTGAGCGGTTTTTTGTTGTTGTTGTTGTTGTTGTTGTTGTTGTTGTTGTTGTTGTTGTTGTTGAGGCAGATCGGGTTGAGCAATTGCCAACTTGCCGTGCCCGTGGGAGGTCCAGAGCGGAAAGTAGTGGCTGCGCCCAAGTTCAGGTCAGCCCAAATCGACCATCGAAAGATCCAAGTATTCGATAAAATAATAATGATTACTGAACAAACATTCTCTGGCGACTTTTCCAAACAAACAAACAAATAAAGGCATCTCCAACGCTACCCTCTAAAACGGACATAGTATGCGTCCATGGACATATCCGGACGCGTCTGCGGACAATGATATAGGAGCCGCCATCCAACGGAGACCATTCACCCCATCCGGAGGGCACAGAGGGACAAACGCGCTACAACCTTGGCCTCCTCGCACATCACTGACTAGTGGATGGGCATGTCTACGACGAGCAAGGCGGCCATGGTCGTGGAGGACCCGACCTTCGTCGACCAGCAGCTCTTCGAGGTTGCGTGCCGGTTACAAGGCGATGGTGGCGTAGGCGGTGGCAGTTGAGGACAAAGACACTCCAACCACTATCATGAGTGTCTCCTCGTTCGCGCCAGCCCGCGACGACTGTGAAGCGGGGCCGTCCAGGTCAATCATCGACCTGACCGCCACCAACAAACATCGGCAACCAGGCAGCGGACTTCGGCGAGGAAGAGTGGGAGGTGGGACTCGGACGTGCCCCCATGTCCTGCTCTTCCTCGCCGGATGTGGGAAAGAACAGGACGTGGAACTCAGACATTTCCACGGCCGGTGAAGATTTAGACCAGGAACTTTTGCTCTATTGAAAAATCTCATGTCCGCTTTGTTTAATGAAATATGTCAATTTTTTCATGCATTTCATCTAGTTTGATTGAAGATTGTCCAGTTTGCATGAAATTTATCGTGTTTGTTCATGTCATGTTTGAAAAGCGGGCGGACGGACAACCGGCTTCAATGCATTAGAAAGTTTTCCCATCAACATATCCGGTACGTCGCTCTGGCATTGAACATGTGCGAAAACTGAGCAGACGCGGCGCAGACGGTGTTCTCGGATGGCGCGCTGCTTCAATGCTGGCTCCAGTGACCGATCGTGTCCGCTTTGGGTCGGCATGAATACGGTGCGGGAAGCGAAGCTGTCGGGCGGGAGAGGACGCGGGCGTGGGATATGGTTTTGGGTGGGATCACATTATCGGACGCGTACGTGGCGACGGTCTGAACGCCTGCAAAGCTACATCGGGACAGCTTGATTCGGATGTTTGCGGCCTATTTGAGGATTCACGCTGGGATGCTTTAGGTATTTGTCGGTTGCCACATTTTAGTTAGTCTTACCATGAATCATGTACACAAAAATATTCATCTGAGGTTCTATTCTGAATCCAAAACAGTGACATTTGTGTTCAGCGAAATACCCTCTCTCTTTGTCTGTTCACCACAGCGCAAGCCTTCACCACTTTGCAACTGTGAACCTAGTCCAGTGATAATAATAGACTCGTAATTGCAGATTACTAAGTACAGACTATCTTTGGATAACTTTCTGACGATGAAAATGCAAATCCATGGTATTATGCTGCCGGTGCAGTGCACCTATATGGGGTGTTAGTAGCAGTGTCAATTTCAGAACTAGAGCATGTTTAATAAAGCCCTCAAATCCTCAAATCTTTAAAGCAGTTTTAAAGGTTGAGAAGTGCTAATTTTTAGCGCTTTTAAGGATTGAAAAACAGGGGCAAAGACTAGGATCCTCAAACCCAACCCTTAAACTGCTTTAAGAGTTGGGTTTGGGGGTTCTAGTCTTTGCCTCAACCCCAACCTTTAAATCTATCATTTGACATCTCATAATTTATGACTACAAGAACACAATCAACCTCTAAACATACTACCAAATGACAATCATTGATGCACGGTTTAATAGTTTACATCACAAAATCATCATCTTCCCCCTCTCATCGGCACCATCATCAAAAAGTTGCACCTCGGCGCCGTCTCCTAGACCACATGCGGGCTCCATCAAGCATCTCCATAGGCGCCGGTGGAGTAGTCCACACCGCCATCACCACAACTACTCATCGGAGTGTCACCTCGAAAAGTAGAGGATGCACCACGGAACATCCTCTTCCTCTCTGCGATGTCCTCCTTGTAGTCCTTCCACCATTGCAATTGATCTTCATCCTTGTCCTTCTTGGACATCATCATGTGCTCCTTCTCTTCCACCATGAGTTCTTTCCATACCTTTGCCTCTTTGAGCTTGATCATCCTCTCCTCCAAGTCGGCCTTGCACTTTGCTTCTTCACGCTTTGCTTTAACTTGTGCAAGCTTGACCTCTTTCTTCTTCTCGGTGATAAGAAGTTTCGTCTCAAATGTCTTTGTTGTCAATTCCTCTCTTGCCTTCATCATGTGCTCCATCTTCTCCCTTAGGCTTGACGCCTCTCCTTCCATCTTCACCCTTAGCTTGCCCTTCTTGGTTCCCTCGGGCTTTCCCAAGTTCCTCTCCTCCTCATCTTCACTATCATCCATCCTAAGCATTGCCGACTTCTTGGGTGCGGTCTCTTGATCCCTCAACTTCCACTTGTCAAAGGTTTGAAGAATTTCCCAAGCATGCTTAAATGGGAATGGCTTGCCCTTGAAAGCGGCCATCTCCTTGTACCTCATGCCGGCAATTGTCTCCTATCAACCACACATAATCACATAAGAACCCACCAATAGCATAGTACACACACATAATCAAAATAGTGAAGAGATATGTACTCACATAGTCACTCTCCACGGTTCC